CAACTTGAATTTCTTGTAAGGTAGCTACAATTTCAGTATAACGCCTTAATATCACTTTTAAGGATTCAAAGCGGCACGACCAACGAGTATCACACAATGCTTTTAATGAAATTGACACCAAACCTGCCTCTTTTTGAATGTCTTCAAAGACTTTATGTCTTTTTGCTGATACTTCAATAAAATTGTACAGTGATGTAATAAGGATAAATTCGGGAAAAACGTCAATATGAAAATTGAATTAATACAACCTGATATCATTCTTTTGAAGAATGATCGACTTAAACTCGGACTAACTCGATCTGCCTCTTTGAAGGTCTACATTAGAGACTTTTCCATTCAAATCTTTTTGATGCATTATACTTTTTTTCTATCGATCGATTAATTTATATTTTATATATGTGATTCATGTGTATAGTACGCTACAGAATTCTCTCAGATACCTTGTTTGAAAACATAGTTTAAAAAAATGTAGGTCCAGCATTTCCCCAAATGAGGATTGCGAAACGGCAGAAAGGCTCCAATCAGCATCGAGATCCCTAAACACATTTAAATCCTTCACATGCGTATGTGCTGTTCATTTTTTTAGACCGAAAAAATTCAGTTCTAGCAGGATTCTTTTCCTTTTTTTTTATCTCCGATGTCCATTCAGTGTGACTCGTAATACCAAAATTATTTCTAATAGGTACCACTGCTTGTGATAAGTCAACTACACATAAATTTAAAATGTGTCCATTGCAATGGACATATAAGGCAGTAGGTACAATTTGTAATAAACGAGTTGATACACCTTTATATATGCCACGCATTGCACTTGCCCCGTCAAAACATTGACCGACTATATTATTAATATCCAAATCGAGTTGTTTCAACCACGTAACTAATAATTTAAATAGAGCTTCACCAGTTGTACTTGATGCTCGCTGAAAGCCAATAAAACGTTCATATACATGAAATTGATCATCAGTATAACGTATAACTAAAGATACTTGTTCATGACGAGAAATATCAACTGATTCATCCATCATAATAGAAAAATATTTGGCGCTTTTAATTTGGAACACAATTTGAGATAATATATTTTCTTGAATTAAATATAATAATTCATTTTGAATCGAATGATGTGTATATTGCAAAGATTTTAATTTACTTTTAATGAAATCATTATCAAGACTTCTTAATTCAAGTAATTCAAGAAGATTACCTAAAACAGAAACAAGTCTGCAATCAGATGAAAAGAGTATAAATATGCAACAGTGAAATGTGACGTTTGATAAAACTTAAATGATTAACTTTTTCGGATAGATTTATTACCTTTATTTTCTGACTCTTCGTCTTTGGTGTTGTTGCTGTTGTTGTTGAGGAATTTTCATAGATTCCACTTTGATCATGAAGAATTAAACTTGTTGATGAGGATAATGGTGATGATGCATCAAGAAATTCAGTCAACACGATTGTTTCATTTATATTCACAATTTCTGAACTTGTTGTTGTACGTTGAGGTGTACTATTTGATTCTTGTACTAAATTATCTGGTTTTTTTAAGAAATAATATGATAATTTTCTTTTATCAGACATTTAACAAAGTATATATACAAATATATAACAACTATAAAATAAAAGATCGAATTGAATACAAAACAGTCAATGTTGAGAAGTCTCGTTTTATCATGATAGGAGCAAGAGAATATAGTTGTCATTTTGATCCAATCATATAATGCTCATCGATCACATATGCAGGGGCCGCGCGAAAGGTCTAAGATTGGGGAGGGGGGGTGTAGCGAGTTTTGAAAGGGTATAAAAATTTTTGGGGGGTGTAAAAGAATATTTAGAGCAAAATTTCTTAAAAAAAACACAAAATTTGTTCCAAATCTGCTCCCGTCGCTCAAAAAAAAACAAAAATTTTCAATTATTGGGGGGTGGGGGTACACCCCCCCCCCCCGCTCGCACGGCTCCTGCACATATGTGACAAAACAGATGTCGTATATATATGACAAAAATAGAGTACTTAAAAAGCAGTAAAAACAAGTCTGGTAATCTATGAATGTGCTTTTAACTACCATCTGAATATGAGACATTAGGGGTAGCAATAATTTTTTATTGCAACCCCTAATTTTTCATAGGGGTAGCAACTGCAACCCCTCGCATCACAGGCGCGCCGCCTATGCCCACACCCACCCACACCCACCCACACCCACACCCACACCCACACCCACCCACACCCACCCACACCCACACCCTTCAGTTTTGATACTATGTCTGTTATTGTTTCTAACTGTTCCATAGTGATGTCTATCATGGTCTGTGGTCGGAGCGATGTTGCTAAGATGTCTGTCATGTCTGTGGGAGGAGGGGGGATGTAGTGGGTGCAAATTTCTATCCTACATACTTCAATACTCCCTTTAGGTCGTGTTTCACAAAATGGTTTGGAAAACTACGTGGAAAGTACATTACCAAAAAATAAAACATTATTGTCACGAACTCAGGAAAAAAGGAATAATTCAGGTCAATGATGAGTTTCATATCAAATTTATTCAGTAAAGTTGTTGTGAAAAATAATCGAAATAATGTAGTGAATTTGATAATCGTAAAAATACACCATATTAATGTATAAGTATAAGAACAAATTAACAAATGAATAGGTGAGATCATTTGAATAAATGTTGTTACACATGATACACAACTCCTACTTAACAATTACATTCATTCGAAGGTAAGCATCATGTTTATTACTTGATAATCAAATTATTATTATTTTTTTTCTCTTGATCGATAGTGAATGAATGGCAAGATGAATTTAAAAAAGGCGCCCAATGAAAATGAAGAACTTCATAAAGTTAATGGTGTGAACTCAAAAATTTAGTTGATTTTTCAAAAAAGAATATTATAACTATACTGAGAACACAAATTTATTTATTCTCATTGCTCATTTATCTGATGTAAGCATTAGTCAACATATGAGATTTGTTTTTACGGTTCCTTTACGAAATGTTGACATCCCTATAGAAGAAGCTAAACAAAACTTAACATTAAACATGGATTTGAAACAACAGTTATTGAGTAATCAAAGTCCAATATTAGAAAAGTTTTTGCTTTTTTTATGGAAATACAAATTGGCTGAATATGAATTGAAAGATGTTTTAATGGAATTGGAAATGCAACATGCATTTGGTGATACAAAAGCAGATTTCGAAAGTATTATTGGGAAATAGAAATAATTCGTGCATTGTGAATAAATTTGATTTATATATATATCTATGTTTCTTGTTATTATTAGAACATTTCTCAATGTCAATCTGGGTTATCGATTAGAGAGCGATTGTGAAGTTTATCGTCTTCCAAATTATTGACTCTTTCTGTCAAAATTTTTCAGCTATATTTCTGGCTCTTTTTCTGGTAAAAAAGAATTTTTTCTGATCTTGCTACAAGAAACTATCAAGATTTCGAGAATAAGTTTCACAACAATCGCTTTCCGTAATGCAAGTGTGCTAGTTGATCAGCGGCGATGAAGAGAATACTCCGTTATATTGTTTTACTTCTGCGAAATAAGTCAGATAGTATTAAAAGATAGCGTTCTTTCTTTTCGTAGAAACCTTAAAATATGCTTTCCTATCAAATATTTTCGACAAAATGTAGTCTATGATAATGTTTGTTCTAGGTTTACGGCTCTATTTGTGTGTGTAGACTTCTTTACGAACTTTCCTTTATAATCTTGAAATACTAGTCATCATGAACAGCGTTGATGATGAGCAGTAGAAGAGTAACGATTGTTAACTAAAATGAAATGTCTTTTGATTTGTAGAAAATTTAAACACATTGGAAAACTTTTTTTTTTAAAAATATTTTTTGTTAAGTTGGGAGTTATAAAAAACTCTACTTTTTGCGGAATTTTTAGCTTCCCCTTTTTCTCGCAAACAATCTACAATTCTGGTATCAATGAACAACATGACACTCGCACCAGCACTACAACAAATAGGAATCGCTTTTCTTGAAAAAGTTAGGAAAGTAATAGAAACTTATTGTTTTCTCAAATTTATACATCTCACGTGTACAGTGTAGTAAAACTACATAATCTCACACACATAGATTCGATATTACAAGCGTAAGAGTAGTTAATTTTAAAATATTATTAGATAACCTTTTCCATAACTATCAAGATAATAACACACTCATAAGTGAATGGAAGATAATGAGACAAACAAACAAAGTTTTCGCGAAATTATTTTGAATAAATTTTTTTCGAGATACAACGCATCCAATAATTTCCAGTGTACTCAATATGCTATCAGAGAATTAATGCAGAAGACTTTCAACTATGACGTTTTTCGGAAAATTAAATTCATATCGGTAGTTCATGTTGCACATAACTTTATGAACTTAGAAAATATTACTAAACAAATTTCAACTTTAATCATGAGCTTTGGATGATTTCATTCGACAGAATACTCTTTCATCTTGTAGTCTAATATAAAATATACATAGAGAACTCTTCTTTACAAGTTATTATATTTATTCATTCCTATTAGTGATGGCCATGATCAATAACATAGATGCTCTCTGTTTCTTTCTCTTCATGACTTTATCACACAAGGGAACTTCTCCAGGTGGTAAAAAGCGTTTGAGGCCAAATTGTGCCTACAGGTAGGTATGGTGTACACTACAAAAAAAATATAAAAGATTATGGGTCCAAATTGCGATTTAGCTGAGATACCGGCTTTCTACTACAATTTTCACAACAAGACATCGTTTGTCCAATAAAATCAAACTTGCAGGTCTACATTCGAAACCTTGATTTTATTGGAAAAGTGATGTCTTATTGTGAAAATTATAGTAAAAAATCGATGTTTCAGCCAAATCGCAATTTGAGCCCATATTCTTTTATATTTTGTTTGTGGCCTATACCATATCTACTTCTGGACGAAACTTGAGCTCAAAAGTTTCTTAGCAGATGGAGAGGTTCCCTCGTAAGATAAAGTGCGATAATCATTCATTCACTTCATATAATTCGTCCGTTCTTCTTTCTGTCAATACCTATTCTTCTCTCTTCTTAGTAAGCACATATATTCTATCATTTACCGAAGTTTTAACTGTCTAGATCTAGCAAGAAATCAGTAAAAAAATGGAGAATAGTAAAGAGAAATTTATACGATTAGGCCATTGATTGGTTGTTCTAGAAATTTATGCGAATTAGAGCTATGAATCGGGTCGAGTAGGTAAACTCAACAAGTTTCCCATCAAGCACATCAACTTCGATGTTCATCCTTTCTAGTTAGTTCAGTCTGTGTGTTGATCACATACATTGAATTAATAGTACAGAGGAACCGTCCAAACTGTATTGTACAAGCAAGGACTTGCCGAGTTTACCAACCTGACTCCTATAACATAAGTCTATAGAAAAATCAGGGATTGAAAAATTTATAATGGTTCTATAGTTTCATACTCTTCTGAAGAATATATTTGTTGTCATAGGAATATCAATAATCGAGCTACAGCCATTAACAGAAATTATTCTGATCTTTTTATCCTCAAAATAGCGATGAAAATTCTTATTAAAAAAGGTAAAGGATAATTCTTGAAATGTAGAATGAATGAGAGTCTCGACATTCAAAGAATCATTCTTTGCATTTTTTATTGACAATTTTTATCCCTTTTTTGAGAATAAAGTGAAACATTAGGATAATATCTATCAAAAATCCAAAACATTTCTTCAACAAAATAAATATTTCTATTGAAGAAGATATGATTTTGATAACAATAATTCATTTACTTCTTCTTCTTGTGGCTTTCTCATCATTAACAGCTACAAATTTCGAACAATTTGGTCTCAAACTTTATTCAACTGTTAATCAAAATAAGAAGAATGAAAATATATTTCTTTCACCAGCAAGTATTTCTCTTGCGATGTCAATGTGTACAGTTGGTGCTCAACAAGAAACGTTAAATCAAATGTTAAAAACCTTTGAAGTATCATCAAGAAAAGAATTAATAAAAACAGCTGAACAAATAATGCATATCTTTTCTATTGCTAATCAAGATAAACAAGTTCAACTTAAATTAGCTAATCGTCTTTATGCACAAAAAGCATATCAACTTCAAGAAGAATATTTAAAAATTGTTCAAAATTCATTTAAAGCAGATATTAAACTGGAAGATTTTGAAAATGAAGGTGCACAAGCTGTTCAAAGAATCAATACATGGGTTGAACAACAAACAAATAATTTAATTCGAAATTTACTTTCAATAAAAGATGTGTCACCTGAGACAAGATTAATAATTATTAATAGTATTTATTTTAAGGTAAATATTAATTTTAATGAAAGAAAAGTAATTCGTTTGTATTAATTGAATCATAGGGTACATGGATAAAAGAATTTAATAAAAATTTAACAAATGAAAATGCTGATTTTCATGAAACGAATGGTAAAATTTCTAAAGTAGCATTAATGCATCAACGAGAGAAATTTGCTTATGCTGAGGATAACGATTTACGTGTACAAATTGTTCATGTACCATATAAAAGTGAAAATAAAGATATTGAATTTGTTTTTACGGTGATTTTACCCAATCGAGGAGTTCAATTAGATGTTGTGGAACAAAAATTAGCATCACAGCCTGATTCAATGCAAAAATTATTAAGTCATCAAAATATAAGAACAGAAGAACTTCATTTATATTTACCAAAATTTAAAATGGAAGCTACATTTGAATTAAGTGATATTCTTCAACAACTTGGAATGAAAGATGCATTCAGTAGTTATAAAGCAAATTTTACAGGTATCGTTAATGGAAAAAATAATAAAGATCGTTTATACATTAGCAAGGTAAATAATTTATTGATAAGATAATGTTAATCAGTGTAATATTTTAGGTTATTCACAAGGCGTTTATTGACGTAAACGAACAAGGTTAGTTTGTTTTTTTTTGAAAAGTAGCCTGTTTGATAAAGGCAAAGTATCTTAATTGTAAAGTTTCTGAAGGAACAAGAGTAATGATAGGATGAGAAAAATATGTTTGCAAGATAATGAATGTGGCAATTGAATTTAAACCTAATTGATCATTTTTGTTTTTCATTGGAGACAAAACAGTAAAATGTGGTATTATATTTCTTAACAGTTTTTCTTCGAGTCTTTCGTTGAAAAATCAAAAGCTACTAATATAAATGAGTATGAAACACACGGAAAATATTTTTCTTACAGAATTCTGAATGAGATGAAAAAATCGTCCCATGCAACAAACAGGTTTGTCCCATCGCATCTAATAAAAAAAGAATCTTTTTTAAGCCTTGAATCGGCTTATAAGACTTCCTTATTCAATTAACTTCGTTTTCCTCTACAGTTCATGTTTAGATCACTTTATTTAACATTTATTTTTTTTTAATACTAATCACATAACATGCGATGCAAAAGTCTTTGCAAAAATCTCGAACTCTATTATACTATAATATTTTTCTAGAACAAATCTTAGAAGGAAGAAAAATCAAAAACCAAACATCTCTAAAAAAAAGGGAGCTCTTGCAACGTTTCTGCAACTGTAAAAGTTTCTATTTCTCAATTACTTAGAGCTACATGGACCAAACTCCAACAAAAAATACACCAAAATATAGCACATCAAAAACTCTATTGATATCAGCTTTGGAAGTTTTTTTTAATCCGTTCATGATCTTTCGAATCAAAAAAAAATTGGAATTTGAAATTTTTGTAAAACGAAGTCTTTTGCAAGAACTATCAGGTGGGAAGGACATTAGGCACAATCTTTAGAAATCATATATAAAGTGAATTCTTTCATTTCACTTCTGATACAAAAAGGAATTAACAGAAAATAGAAAATGATGTTGCACAATGATTAAATTTTGAGAACATTTTTAGAGATGTTTACTTTTTGGGTTTTCCTCCTTCTGAGATTCGTTATAGAAAAATGTATCTGCTACAAAACTTGTAGTTGACACGTTGCTCTTTCCAACAAAAAAAAATGAATTGGTATAGAAGCAAAGATTTTTGCATCGCATGTTATATCCTACTGCTTTCGCCAAGACGGAAATTACAAATCTAGGGTTTTAGGATGTTGGTAAACCACAATGAATATTATAGTGAATTCAATAGTATCCATCAAAACTAGCTATCTATCAATTACTTCTCTTGAAACTAAAACTTATAAAAAACTGTTGAAAAGTGATATGAACTTAAAATTCTTATAATCATGTCTTTTTATCTACATAATCAATATTTATGGAGGAGTGCGATAAAAAATAAAAATTAGTGTAAGGCACATAGAATTTCACAAAAATAATTGTAGATTACATTGTGTAAACTTCTGACGGAAGCTTTAAAATTTTTTCATCAAAAATAGCAGAAGAAATCAGCAATAAATCTATTTATGTTAAAAATAAGATAAACAATGAGGTTATTATAATGAATTCTACTACTCAGAACTCCTATAAAGTGCCCTATTGAAACATATTTCAACAGAAAAAAACCTTGGATTGTTTCATGAGAACAAAAGACGACAATTCCATGGGAAGGGATGAAATGGGATAGGATCGTTCCATACCATTCAAAGCTCTGTTTTCTTATCTATGATTCGAATGATATCTTAATTAATGTTGATAGCTGTCATTCGATTGCTTCAACTTATTGATATCTTAAAAAAGGAATATTTTTTAGTTTTTATTCTTTTTGGCAAAGGACTAAAAGCAATAGCTGCCTGCTGTAGAGCTTACGAACACACATCGAAAAGCATCAAAAATCGAATTCGTTGAATTTGACAATGACCATCTGTTTTTGTTTTCTATTCGAGCAATTAAAAAACCTCACGCTATTAATTGGAAAGTTTCTTAGATCTACAAGTTTATCGTGTTAATATGTGCTTCAATATTTGCGTATGCACAATTCAATCAGAATTTAATCAAAAAATTTCTCGGTAATAAACTACATCTTTCTGATACGTTACAGTACAAAGATTGAATATATTTGCACTAAATCTTTGATATCCGTTTGAAGACATGTTTAGCAATTCACAGATTTTCCTTTATCTTTTTTTTATTATTTCATTTAGGATCAGAAGCAGCAGCAGCTACAGCCGTTATCATCGGTATTTATGCATCAATCAATCCACCATCACAACCCATTGAATTTAAAGCTGACCGTCCATTTCTATTCTTCATTCGTGAAAGTCGACAAAATATTGTCTTATTTAGTGGCAGATTTATTTCACCACCGACAAACTCATAAATTAATTATTTCAAAACGCTTACATTTCATATTCGTGCATCTTTTATTTCTCATCAAAATGATATAATAAATATTGGTTAACTTTTATTTTATTATTTACTTCTGAAAAACTTTAAAAGACTTATTGTGAAAATTCATAAAGAAAGTTATAATATGAATATGGAAACTCTTTCAACTTTTAGCAACGAGCATAGAAGTGTACATTAACATCGAAATACTTAGGGCATATGAAAAGTAGTGGCGGAGTCCCGGAAAAATCTTATAAAAGGTTTTAAGAAATTTCCTTTTATACATAGTGATAGAGAAAAAAGTTCTACCATTCTTTGCTATTTGATCAATATTTATCTAATATTATACTAATAAAATTCCCATCATACTTGTTTGACTAGAACATTTCTCCATAATATTATCCCATATTGTCTTCGATATGTGTTTTCGTCTTGATGTTTCTTTTTGTTCTGTTCCTATCTTTTCTTTATTCTTTTTTCTTATCTATTTTAATGCACAACAATCTATACATAACGATAGAAAACCAACTGGTGATAGAACAAAAAAAAATACAGAAACCAGGTCAAAGAGTTTTCATTTCATCAAATGTTCAAAATAATTTCCTTCATTATTCACGCACAAACGCATTCGCTGAATCCATTTATCGAACGTTTTTCTATACTCTTCTTTATCTAGAGAATTCATGAACTTCGTTACGGGATCACATAATGATTCAATATCATTTTGATTGCCTATATTGTGTTTGACAAATTTGAATAACCATAAATCCTATGGTGCCAAATCTGGCGAATTGGATGGATCTGGTATTATTGTAACATCTTCTGATGTAAGGTAATCGGACACAGCTTTGTGGATGTGAGGTTTGCCATTATCATGAAGAATTTTAAGTGAATGTGTACTTGATAAAGGTCTACGCTTCTTGATTTCATCAATAACGGATTGTAAGCAATTTTCAATATAAATTTCATGATCAATAATTTGTCCAGATTCAACATTATGGATTAAGACAGAACCGGCTGACTTTAAAATGATACAAACTAACGTTTTTCGAGCATAATAATTTCGTCGGGTCCCTGTAGGATCCCCGTCACCACATCGTATAAACGCCATGTATCTTATTCGAAATTCTCTTTGTATATTCGGACTCTTCCAGCTGGTTGAGTAGCAGTCAGATTTTTCGGTATATAACATGCAGTAATTTTCTTAAAGCTCAGGTGTTCGGAAATGATTCGCTGAATGATACTATGGCTTAGGTCACTTTGTATTTGTATTTCTCCTATTGTAACATAAGGATTACCCTGCGGGGTGGCTGGTTTAGATGAACTATACATCCATATCTACACCCACCCACACTCTCTCACCCACATCCGCTCTCTCATCCTGCGCGTTAAAGTTGTGCGCGTAAGTGTCGGCGCACAAGTGTCGTGTAGTCGGACGCTATATCGAATTGAATTGACTTTATTTTTATTTTTAGAAAGCGCAATGTTTGAAAAAAATTCGAGGAATTGTTGGTAGTTAACTAAGTATATATGTGCTATTGCAATTAATATTGTGTATTATTTTCCCATTTGGCAAAATTCTCATTGATATCTTTGTGCCATGCATCGAGTAATCGACTCTTAATATTCTTTCCAACCAGAAAAGCGACTTCAGCTCCTTGTCGATCTCGCTTAATCCAATTCGTTCCATTGTGTATCGGATTTGGGCGAAACACACGAAGATAAAATGGACCCGCTCCTGTGGTATAAAAACGACACTTATCTGTATGACCAAAATCAACAAGATCAGCCCAATCATATTTTAAATTCGAATTGATGATAATTTCATTGGGATATTGTTTAAATCGACATTGCAAATTTTCACGAGCTATTTTTCTCATTAAACCATCGATGGTAGCTAAATAGGGTTCGAGAAATGTTCTCTCACGTGATCGATTAATTGAACGACGAATTGTCATTGCAATGTTTGGCAACGATTGTAAATTATCGAAGTCATCGGATAACATGAGAAAAACAGAATTGGCTACGTGACCAGGCGGTGCAATCGAATCGGAAATGCCACGAAAATTGATGATGTTACCTGCGTGTGTAATCCGCTGCTCATCGTGATCAAAGCAGTGCGTATTGAGTAAGATTATGATATAGGCACTGAGTGCATCCTGAATAGTTACACTCGCTTCGCCAGCTAGTTTATGCAATCGAACAAGTTGTTCACCTGAAAAATGTAGATTGACTTGTTCATAGGCTTCTAGATAGGACATAAAACTATTTTCTATTTGTTCTTTCGGTTGTGCATCTCGAAGTACTTTCATTTTGGGCAAATAGGATTGATCTGCTTCATTCTCGTGCCACAGTCGTCGCTCGAACACTGGATCTGGTTTTGATGGTTCTAATTGTTGATAGAGTCGTGAAATGGTATTCAGAAAGCGTAAACAAGACTCGGCATCGCCCAACACATGATTCCAACTGATGCCCATTATAAACTCATCGCTGTGCACAATGCGAGTGAGTTTCATATGAAAGAGTGGCTCATGCGATGTACCATCCAGCAAATTTTCACTTTGTATTTGACTGAGATATGGCTCAAGTGATGTTTGACTATTGTCAATAACCACAGTTGAATCAAGTGGCCATTGCTGCAGATCAGTGTTATCGACGAATGATACTGGAATAGACTGATCGGACATTTCGATGAAATAACGATCATTCTCAAGTAAGACTAGATGACCGGCAATGAGAGGCCATAGAGAGAGAGATTGACTGAGAGCCTCTTTCAACTGATCGATATTCAAATCGGACGGATAAACAAATATGAGGTTGATAGATGCGCCAAGCCATAGATCGATACCGGCCAGTTCAATTCGACGATTGTTACCCGTCGGTGTTGATGGTGGAACGAACCAAGTTATCATCACAATGATATTGGATGTATAGTCTAATAAGAAACTCCAACGAGTAGAGTAAAAATATCTAAAGTAACACAGAAATGATATGAAGGTCGGTGTGTGTGAAAATGTAACATATGTATGTCTTTATCAGTTCTGTAATTTCGCAAGCAACAGAATAATTGATGCAATCTTACTGGTGCAAACACAACGAAGAGGAGGCCCTTAAACGATCATACTGACCAGTGCAGAGATCAAAAAATAAGGATTGGCGTACGGATCTTTGTCTTTGTCAACGACATTATCGGCAGGCTGAAATCCAGAACCTATATTCTTCATCTAATTCTCTGGGATGGGTGTCGGTATGAATGCGAGTGTGCTGAAGGTGTGAGTGTGGATGTGGATGAAAAACTGAATCGCTGCCACACATCCACACCCACCATTTAACCGCATCCAACGTATTTGTAAGTTCTATTTCAGCTCAGATGTTCAGTGCAGCATACGACACTTGAAAGAGTGTAGTTTTTTTGTCGTATCTTTTTCTTTTCTTCTTCTTTTATATTTATGTATTCTTTCCGTTGTTTCGGTCTGCTCTTCAGGTCAAGCTGAAATTCATAAAGCGATCTGCAGGTCAAACTAGGTCGATTGGCGCTTTTGACCGAAAAGTGACAAGCGTGGGTGGGTATAGATATAGATATTAATCTTCTCCATACCTCACCTGACCTATATCCAAACCCACACCCCCACATCCTAATCAGAGTGTGGGTCTTCTTCTTTTTAGTCACATTCGGACCCACATCCATCTACACCCAAAAATCTTTGAATGACATACATAAATCTGTCTTTCAACTAATTGTTTCAGAGGCACAATTATTAAAAACATTTGTTTTTTTTTTATTTCATAATCATTATTGACATCAAATAACACAAAAATAATTAGAATCATGTGCTTATGATCCTCCAGTATGATGTCGTTTTCATGCAATATGTTAAGTTTCTTGTACATCAATTACAGAAGAATCGGGGACCTCAAAATTTCATTAAATTTTTTTAAGTTGAATAAATGTTCTCCAATATTGTTTGATCAATTACTGCTGATCTGCATGCAAGGTACAGTGTTACCAATTAAGTACTTTATAGTTATTAAAAAATTCTTTATCTCAATTATTTTTATAATATAAATCACTATTAAATTTTCCTAAAGCAGCATATGTTCTTTTAATGATGCTGTTTCTTGTACTAGAAGTATTTGTGAAAGTCTTAAAAGAATTCCTTTTCTTTGATCCTTTCAGTTCTCTTCGAATTGATAAAAAATTAATGTAATCGTTTTTATTTTATTGACCTGAATAGATAAATAACATTGGCACAAAAACGATCTTTTATGGAAGTGGTTCTTAAATCAAGGAGAGCGGCAATTTCAAACGTTAGAAAAACTTCCAGCTGTTTTCCATGACTTTGTTAGAGTATAAAACTCACGAAGTTTATGTTTTCCGTATGTATTAACATTTAAAAGCGAAATTGTTTTTGAATAAAAAATTTAATTATTTTAATTGTGAATAAAATATTTATTATCTTTCAGAATAAAGATTTTCTGAAATAATAATTGTAGCTAAGTGGAATAGGCGTTCAATATAATATCATAAACAGACAATGATAAAAACTATCGTCATAGTTTTCAATGTTGGCAGAAAAATGAAAAAGAAAATTCGAAACATTTGCTAATTAATTTTGGAACTATCCAAAAGATGTAATTGTATATTAACAATTATTTTCTATTAAGCAAACCTTTGATATATCACGTGCTCATGTCTTTCACTGAGAGTATCGATTTTATAGATGATTGTTTAAAGTATTAATATATATTTATATGCATATTAAAATAATAGATAGTCATATTTTAATAAAAATTCAATCCTTAATGCGAGAGCTAAATATTGAAAAAGCTATAGCAATTAGGTTCAATTAGTTCAAAGATAATATAGAATACAAAATTCAAGTTTTCGACTAAAACTCAAATCTCAATCAACTGATTTCTCAGGTTTTTTTGGATATTTTTTAAGAAACAAGAAGAAATAACTCTACTTTACTTTGATAATTATTTGTTTTGTAATTGATCAATTGTAAACGATCTTCTATTACGTTCAGTTTCAATGGTGAGAACTCCGATTAACATATCTGATAATCCAGATGTTTTAAGATGTTGTAAAATAATTACTGCACGTTCTTCACCATTGATATTTTTATCGATAAAAACATCAGTATTGTTTGGACTCTCAACTTCTATTAAGTTATCTTTGATATTAAAACATACATTATGCGACTCTAGTTTGAGGAGGTAGAATAGAACTCATGATTTTAGTCTGCTAAAGAATTAAAGAGCTCACACAAACTGCATACCTTCCTTTGTTGATGCATCATATAATGATATGGAGAAATTATTCTATTGAAAATATTTTATTTTGAAAAGAATAGAACATAACAATAACAAGTAACCAAGAATATCATAATAAAGAAGATAGTAAAGAGGAGAAAGGATGGTCAATCACAAAGGAAAGAACAAACAGCTAAAAAAGATCAAAACAAGATACATTAAAGAGGAGAGAAGACAACCAATAACAAATAGAGAATAGAGGTATCGTTATAGAATGACATCTGTTGACGTTAATATACATCATTAAGTTTTATTATTGTTAATAATTGTTGCTTGTAATAAGCAATGTTCTCATCATTATTATAATCACCTGATTGAATTAACGCATTATTTGCTGTCTGAAGTTCATGAAAACGTGAAGATATTTGATTATCACAGATAAACAGAACAGATCTACAACAAATGTATTCAGTATATATGATTTTTTTGCTAAAACAAGGCATTCCTTGATAACAACTTTAAATTAAAAAGATCGATAAAGATCAATTAACGTTCCATTTATCCTTCATAATAGAGATGTTATGTCTGCATTAGGGCTCTGGATGGGACAATCTCATCCCATTTCACCCGGAGCCCTGATCGGAATCATTCAGGAAAAAAATTGGAAAAAATCAATTATTATTTAGCCGAAAACTGAATTTTTTAGCTTCTATATATTTTCTTAAATTTTGTACACGTGCTTGTGAAACAATTTCATCATGAAGAGTAAATATGATAAAATGAAACTATGTTATTTGAAACGATTCAAAGAACTTTGTTCCTCGTTATATTAAATCAATCCTTAGGAACATCTATTGAGATTATTGATATAATCATTTAGACTAAAACTTTATAGATCGCTTTGCTTTATCTCCTTTCTAACCACAAACCTTTTTTAAAAGTTAGATCGAGATAAAAATTTTCGAGATAGTTTACTAAACATGAAGAGAGAAATTGTTTCTACTTAATATAACTGAATATTGTGAAGCTATTTCCATTTCAAATGATAAAACAAGCTAAATAGATTTAAACTTTTAAGACAAAAAAAAAGCTAAAATGATTGAGAAAACAAATCATGGCATAGTTATGAAATAATTTGCTGAACTTTACAACTCGTTCGCGCTGTATCAAAACTTATATTATTCATCATTGAAATTATTTTCAGCATATTTTTTCAATCATCGACATGAAGAAAGCTACACGCTCTAGTCTATTGTCATTCTGTATATAAAACCTTTCTTTTCATTCTGTCTTATGTAAGCATATATATCATTGAAGCTGACAGAACGAAAGAAAAAATACAGAAAAGCAACGAAAAAGTTCTTTTTGCAGGGAATAATATTTTAAAAATTTTTACTTGAGACTATACCATACCCCGCGCGAATATTCTAGGGTAATACCCAGTTTTTTACGCTCTTTTCAATGATGCCATTCTTATGAATTACACTTTTAGTTGATTTTTTTTCGATCAGTTGATGTGTAATTCGTACAAATTAGTTCAAGTGTATCCACATGAAAATGTTTGACGAAAAATCTAATTTTCATCTTATTATTAAGTTGTAATCAATTTTAGTTGACTTGCAATATTAAAATCAGATTGAAATATTCCGATGTTAATCGTTTTTTGAATCACTCATATATTGGTTACAATCAAATTTTGAGTGAAAAATATTTTTACGTCGTTAATATATGATTTCAACACCGATTGGTC